CCCCCCCCAACCCTAGGCCAGCATTGCTGGAAGGACTTTAGAGTAGTTTTTCATGGAAACCACGTTGCGATGATAAGAATGATGTATTACAGTAGTGCATATGTTGAGTTATTCAGAAATAAAGAAGTCAGTTGGCGTCGGTCCGTACAGCATCACCTCGAGCCAAATATTTTCCTGTACGGCCTGACCTAACTCAGTCAATAAGTACATAATACTTCTGAACCCTGAAAAAAATACAGGCTTAGAATGGGATTTCAACCCATGATCTTTGTGATACCAGTGCAATGCTCAAACCACCTGAGCTATCTAAGCCACAGGGTTGGTTGTGGCTTTAGTTCCCCCACTGGTTAGAGCGTTGAACCTGTATCACAGACTTCAGCAGTATTCAGGCTTCAGCAGTATATACTTATTCTATATACTTATTCTAAGTCTATATACAATACAATTATAGTTAGCGCGTATTACATACCAGGGTCTCTGGCATTGAGCACGTGGAGTAAGAATGACAGGCCCTTGGGGATTAGAGTATGTTTGTCTATCATTGAGTGTTAACTCATATAAATACTTAGATAAATGGTGAGGATTCTATATTCAAGTTAAACAACTTGTTAATGATAGTTTTTTATTGTTAATTCACATGGATTTTTACTTTAAGGCTGTGGCACTGGACCCAGATTATTCCTCAAAACAAGCAAAAATGTATGTCACTGGAGGAGAAAAGGTATTGTATTAGTAAAGTTGAGTTACATGTTTTTTTAAGTTGGGAGGGAGGGAGGGTGAGGGGCTCAAGTGACAACCAAATAGTTTTTAAAAATAAACCCAAAGCAATGTCAAGGAAAAAATCAATTTTCTTTTCTTTTGAATCCCCACCTGACCATCCCACCATCTCTATATTTGGTGACTAATGTGTTGACTGACTGACAGCTGCAGCTATCAGAATACAGTACATCAATTTCACCTATAGAGACTAATTCAATGAGGTGAAACAACCTACGGACAAAATTGTTCATGATGAATATAACAGTCAAATTCTAAGACTAAATAGCAAAAGGATGGCTACCCTTGCTATTAAAACAAGGACAGTTTATTTTATCCCTATACAGTTATGTAGTGATTTTCTTGTTTGTATTTCAGTTGATCTTGACAGAGAGAGGGTGGTTTAGGAACAAGACCACTGTGCTCCATGAAGGAGAGGGAGCCATCAGAACCATCAAATGGAAGTCCCATTTCATCGCCTGGTCTAATGATGTGGTAGGAATATATTGTGTGTGTGTTAAGGACTTTTATCATGACCTGTACTGCCCTGCTCTCACGCGCTCTAATAAAACCTTTGGAAAAAGTCATAATTGGGGCTGGTCAATTCGATGTGAGCGGGCCGGGAAAATGTCTGGTCCTGCTCTTTTAGATACTTGTCCTATTTATCAATTTTAGCAGGATTTTTCAGACTTTTTCATGACAAAAATTGGCTGCCCTCGGTCTGTACTGCATGACCTTGGGCCAAATATTTTCCATTCCGGCCCTCCCACTCAGCCAATAAGTACAATGCTCAAACATGTGAGCTTATTWTTTTCTACCCTGCTTCTTTTATTATCAATAAATCATTACTAAACCTATTTCAAGAAAGGTTGTTGATGATCTAGGAGATAAGAATAACTTGGAATAACTGTCTATCTCCTTTGCTTCTGACAACCTTTTTTTGATGGCATTTGTAATGCTGATGCTGACCCTGTTTTTTTTTATCACATAACTATATGTTGTGTTTTATAGGGTGTAAGAGTCTTTGATGTGAGCTCCAAGCGAGTAATTACATACATCAAAAGGGAACCAGGAAGGTAAAATCGGACAAAATGATATTTAATGTGAAAGAAATATGTTTTGTTTCAATTGACTTCATTCCACAGTAAGGCACTCTTCTACCCTTTCTTTACTTTACAACTACACTTTCCTTCACTTAACCTTCCCTTTTCTTCACATTCATTTACTTCCCATTTCTTCACTTTGCTTCCCTTTCTTTCATTCCTTCACTTCATTTTACTCCACTGCACTTCACTTCACTGCATTGCACTTCCCTTTCTATACTTTTCTACTCACTTTTTTTACTTGATTCTATTTTGTTTTGCATCTTTCACTTGATTAATTTTATTTCTCCTCATTTCCATTAATTATTTAATTGTTATTTACTTGTATCTTATCCCTTTTCTCCTTTTTCTTTTTTGTTTCTATTCTTTCTTCTTTTTTTCCTTTCCTTTTTTGTTTTTTGTTTTTWTTTCTCTWTTCTTCTCTTCCCTTCCCTTCCCTTCCCTTCCCTTCTCTTCTCTTCTCTTCTCTTTTCTTCTCTTCTCTTCTCTTTTCTTTTCTTTCCTTTCCTTTCCTTTCCTTTCCTTTCACTTCCCTTCACATCACTCTCTTTCCCTTCTCTTTACTCAAGAAAGGCTTTAACTACCAGTATGTTTGTTTCTCATAGTCCTAGACCACAGCTGTACAGATGTAATCTCAACTGGAGTGATAATGTGACTCTCTTGATTGGATGGGCAAACAGCATTACGGTAATAACTCTAATTTCTCAAATCTTAGCCTAATAGGGACCTTAAGCATAGGAGAGTGGGGACGCTGAAACAATGATGTGAGCATGTTTTCAAAATGTTTTTTCCGAGCATGTGGGAAAGTGAGGTTAAAGGCGTGATTACACGGAGCAATTCCATTAAGACGGCAAAGGCATGAAAAACCATTTTGAAAACTCGCTCATACTATTGTTTCAACTTCACTTGTTGTTCTAATTTTTTAATCAAATATAAAAGTTGTTTTTCAAAGAAATATACTTCTAAAGATTAGAGAAGTAATCTCGATTTCATATATATAGTCATATAAAAGTTGTGCTAAACGACTTTTGGAATTGTGCGAACAGGTCATAGTTGTGCGAACGGGTTCGTGCAAAAAGGCAATTGTGCGAAACGACTGGTAACCAATTGAATAACGCAGTCCTAGGCTCAGCACACTTCATTTTCTTTGACTGTAATCGAAATACTAATACAAGTAATAATCACAAATAATCAATAAATTTATTACTAATAATAAWAGACATAATTACTATTAATTACTATAAGATTTCATTAATTTTTGTGGTAGGTTTGTGTGGTTAAAACTCGAGAGCAAGAGGTTCGTGACCTTCCTCCTCGCTATGTTGAAATTGGTAAGCAAAATATTTCCATTGTTTCGTGTTTTTCTTTTGATCATTCGTTTAATTAAAAAATATAATGGATTTTTTATATTTTCAACATATTTACTCAAAACATTAACTCTGAAGAGTGAAATAGCTAATCAAGGGGTCCATGTTATTGTTTGATTTAATAAAGATTTAATTTGTATAGAATGTACAACACTCCTTAGTTACATTCAGTGACATTTCGGTTATTTTATTATAAATGTTTTTTGGCAAAAAAGATTTTCATTTTTGTTTATGTCAAACTCGTTGCATTGCAGTTGGCATTTTCAAGATGGATTATTTTATCAGTGGGATTGCAACTCTAGGAGATGACATAGTAAGTCTGACAAAAAGTCTGTTTATACTAACCTTTTTCTTGTGGCAACCATTTTGACCAGAACAATAAATTTTCCCCCTTCATAGCCTTACATTCAAGCACTTCAGGATGAGGTTATGTGTAGATAAGCTAAGGATTTTATTCTCATGGAAATAAACAAGGGCAGATCCAGGGGGGAAAAGGGGGGCTGAAGCCYACCTTCAGCAGAAAAAAAATAACAAAACAAAAATGCAGAATTAGATGCTTTTTTTTTATTGTTTTCTGTTGTGTTGATGGAAGAAACTCAATTAGCCCCCCCAAACACAAGCAGCCCCCCCCCTAAAATTTTAGCTGGATCCGCCCTTGATAAACATTATGCAGTGCAGTCAAGGTCCATTGTATTTTATTTTTGTAAAAATTGGAATTTTCAGTTTTTCTTTTTTTTTTTCCATTAGACATGAATTTCTAGTAAGCTGTTGGGGATGGCTAGTTGGGGATACCTTATTGTTAGTGGGTCATAACATTTCATTATTGTAACCCTGGTTGGAAAGTTAGTTTTCTTTACTAATCCTTTTCCATTTGAATTTTACTCCAGCTTTTCAGAGTTCTCTGTTGCTCAGGCTTAGCCTCGGTTTTTGTGCAGAGTATGTGAATTCATGTGTTCAGACAGTGAGGGTCTTCTAAGGTTGTTGTACATTGATTTCATTTTAGGTTATACTGTCATACCTGACTAACATTGAAGAGGGTGAAACTAAGGTAAGGACAATCTGTAATTTAGTTATCATTATTAATAATCAATTTATCAATATAAGCATTTAAGGTTAAAATGAATATATTGTTCTAAAATTAAGTTTTGCCACAGGTTTTTGCAGTAAATTTTGTGTACGAAATTACACCATGATCTCGAGTACAATTTGGAATTTATAGGTACGAGTGAAGTTTTGAAAGTTTTTCATCTCCAATTTGAGAACTTTCAAAACATCACCAGGATCTATGAATTCAGAATTGTACAAGAACACTGTGCAATTTTTTGTTTATAATACGCTCAAAAAATTGAGCAACTCAATTGGGACTCTACAGCAGAGTACAATTTGGGATTTAATTGCACTCCTTTTGTCCAATCAGAATGGAGTAATTTTGTTGAGTGTATTATAAGTATAAAGTTACATTTGGACTCCCCCCTCTCAAAAATTGCTAGATTTGCCCTTTAAACACTATATTATGAATTATTTATCTTTTAACATCATTTTGATTATCATTTTGATCTGCCCTTCAAATACTAACTATAAATTATTGACATTTTAACAATCTGTTTGCTCCAGAAAGTCGATAACGTATCTGCCAAGCGACCTCAACTCCGTATTTTGTCTACAAGCAGTTTGAAAGAACATGAAGAGATTTCAGCTGATGCTCTGTCCATCAGGGGATATCAACATTATCGTTGTGATGATTATCACTTGGGTGAGTTAGCATGATAGGCCTGTTACTTCTATTGGGGGTGGGGGTGNNGGGGTGGGGGTGGGGAGGGGTGGGTCGTGGCAAAGGAGGGTATAGATTCATGTTGGAATTAGAATCTTATTATTAACCTACCCTTTATTAATAATAAAAGCAATGTACCATACATGACTTCACTGATGGCGATGTTAGGCAATGGACAAAGCACTCAGTTCACTAGACATTCAACATTGCCACCTATAGAGTCAAGATAGGATTAATAGGATCAAGAACTCTCAGGCCTTTTAATAATAATAATAATAATACTTTATTAGTATTTAAATACACAGGTAATTATTGAAAATCTTGCACTCTGATTGGTCAAGAAACTCAGATTATCACACAATAATCACCTCCAGCGATAATCCAAAATGGTGGCCAGCCACTTTGTTGTTTTAAAAGTGTCTTATCTTCTTTTTTTTTTCTTCTTTTTTTGAAAGAATCCCCTGTGTATTTATACTTAAACAATTATTCACCTCAGTGAATATCGGGAATAATAACCTCAACTTAGTTTCGGTTATTATTCCCCAATATTCAGTTATAAAAATGAAAGAAATAGTATTAAGTATCAACTAGAATATTTGATTGGATTTGTATGGAAAGATGCAAAGAAAGGCAAAGAAAGGCAGAGACAAAGTGGAGGGGTACAGGGGGTGTGCACATGTGTACCCCTACTGGGGCTAGATCAGTTAACATATCTATAGAGGCTTTGCACATGATGGCAGCAATTACCAAAGGCACACAACAATAGAGTCTTCCCCCCCCTGCCCCCAACGCCTTGATGGGATTATACCAGACTCAATAGAGTACCAAAGTGTGATGTCAAGGAAAACCGAATTTTGCTTTTGATAATTTTTGATCCTCGAATTCAAAAGAACATCAAGTAAGACGTTAACAAACCAAATTTTAAGAATATAGGCTAAAAATCCACTGATATATAGCTGTTTGAATATATAATTTTCCCATACAAATCACTGTATTTCAGCCCTGGATCATTATGTAATGATCAAGTGCTAAAATACAGTGACTGTATGGAGAAATTATATATTCAAATGGCCATATCTCCGTAGTTATTCATCTACTTACCCTCAAATTTTGCGCCTTTCTGGATGTCCTATCAAAACCCAGGATCAACAGTATGATGCAGTGAAAATAATATTTTTGTGACATCATCACTTCGGTACTCCATTGTTACTGTCATGGCTGCCACCATAAAAGCCTATATTTGTGCAAATGAAATATCAAACGTTTGTGCAAATGAAATATCAAACAATCTAAAAAAAATTACTAAATGATTCAATGAGAAATTCAAATGACATTGAGGAAATCTAGAGTTTTTTCTATTAAATGCTAAACCTGTCTACATGTTATTACTTTTAGTGGGGTTTATTGACGTAATAAAGTATCCGTCAATAAGTGGCTATCATGGTAAGATGATCCTGAAACAACAAAATTTATTAAATCATAAATAATTGCACTAAATAAGCTGAGATAAATTTCTTGCAAGAATTTTTAACATGATTTTTAAATGATAAAAAAGGTATAGGAAAAAAAAGGCACTTAAAAAAGGATAAAACTGCAGTGGTCTCTAGTTTGGTTGAAGTATGGCTTGTAGCTCACTTCAGCTGATAGGATGTGGAAAAATGGGATAATTAGCCACAGAATTATTGTATAAATATAATTCACCATGTTAATGCAGAAAAAAAAWATTACTTAAAGCTCAATTTTATGGAACCCTCAAACCATCTCTGGGCTGATCAAAGTCAGGGCATGCCTAATTTGCAGATCAAGTTTGAATTTGGTTTGCTGAGTTTGTTGAGCCACAAAAACCAGAGAACTTTGAGAAAAACTCTGGAATCAAGTTAGAGATCCAAAAACTGGAGTCCCTGGGGGAAAGTCAAGGGATCAAACCAAAGATCCCACATGGCAGAGACAAGTACACTAATACACTAATACAATGCCATTGGTCCCTCTTGCAAAGTTGTGAAGGCTTTGCATTGATCAAAAGGCAATAGACCTCCTCAGCTCAGCGTAATGTTGTCCCATTTCAGACCACATGTCATTCCCTTGAGAATGATATTCTTTGTTTGAGTTGTATTCATATTCATGTGTCTTCTCATGTGCAACCAAGCGAAAACCTTAAGCAAAGAAATGATACTCTAGGGAATGACACGTGGTCTAAAAAGGGACAACATTACGTCAGAGCTGAGGAGGTCTATTATGATGAGGGATGCCATAAAATTGTCAAAGTAAAGAATTAAATATTATAAAAATGTAAAGCACACATAAAATAATAAAAAGTATATTAAAAAATGTTAAATAAATCATACTTAGGATAATGCAAAATTCAATTTTGATTGTAAATATTTTAATTAAATCATAAAACGCACCAAAAGCTATTATAATGACTCATGTATTTATTCTGGTTGACAGAATGCAATTTATAACATCTATATCTTATTTTGAAATTTTCCAGAGAATGTAACAGAAGACAACCTGTTTTATATTGTCAGTCCGAAAGACATTGTTTTGGCTAAGGTAAAGTATGAAAGTTGAATAGACTTCTTTACCTAAATCTTTCCCCATTTCAGGCCATGTGACATTCTTTAGAGTATCATTTCTTTGTCTAACGGCTGCACATAATTAGACTATTAATATGGGTACAACTCAAACAAAGAATCTTAGTATTCTCAAGAGAATGACATGTTGTCTGAAATGAGAAATTAATTCATCCATGATGAAGAGGTCTATTATTGAAGAAGTAGAAGACGCGCACACATACACCTAAATCCAAAATGGTGCACGGCCAGCTGAAAACGAGGCATCCAGTGCCAAATTTACAATTTATCTTATAATTTGATGCTGCAAAATTGTCGTGTTCCTGAATGTAAGAAGAAAAGAAAGACGGAACAAGTGAACAAGTGTATACTTTGCATTGAGACAATATTATTTCTTTGCATTTGGCCCTGGACGCCTTGTTTTCACGTAACGCACTCGGCCGTGCGCCATTTTGGATTTAGGTGTATGCGTGCTCGTTTATAAAGCATTCAGGGATAGGTAGAACATGAGAGAAGTGTCAGGAGTGTTTCAGGAGTACTTCTCGAGTGTTTTGCCAATTCCCAAGTGCTTTATAACTCCACACAGCACAGTAAGCAAGTTTTTTATTTCTTTTATAAGATGCAAAGGGCGCGTGCTTGCTGTGTGCTCTCATAAAACACGCACTCCCAACCAATCATAATGCGAGATTTATAACAGTTATTTTATAATGTATTGTACCCCACTCTTCTACATATAACTCCCTTCTGTTCCATTTTCCTTTCTGTTCCTTCTTCACTTCCACAACTCATATCTTCTTTTCTTTCTCCCTTTCGATTCTTCTCTTCCACCCTTCTTTTTCTCTCTTGTTCTATTTTGTCCTTTTCCCCCTCGCTCACTTAACCCCTTCCAGAGTCAGGAAATCAAGGCTTGGTACGAAGTGCTGCTCGCCAGCACAAATCAAATAGGGAAAATGTAGACTGGAAAAAAAAAAAAAAAAAAAGATTAGAAATAGAATCTAGACTGGATATTGCGCTAACCATTGATTTTCTGTCACCACTAGCCCAGAGATATAGATGATCACATTGGCTGGTTGATGAGTCATAACAAATACGAGGTTAGTAAGTAATATATACAGTATGAGTGAACCCCAATGGGGGTTAGCTAGTTCGGAGACAAAACCAAAAACAGAGTAATAAAAAAATGTTCAAGATGGACGCCGTATTAGTAATGAAGAAATAGAAAACGCGTTCGCGTGCTGTGCGCAGTCATAAAGCGCGCGGGGCTTGGCAGAACACGAGAGAAGTGTTAGGAGAAGCACGACACGTAGCGGACCCTTCTGAAGAGTTCTGCCAATCTCCAAGCACAGCTCCATAGCTCCACACAGCACAGCAAGCAATTTCCTCATTTCTAGGAATACGGAAATAAATTACAGAAATGACGAAACTGGAAGTGCGCGCTCGTGCTGTGTGCTCTCATAAAGAACGCGCTTCCAACCAATCAGAACGCGAGATTTAGAATTTACCTGTTGCACACTTTAGGAAGCATTATCAGCCGTAGAAGAACACCAGAAGGAAGTCAAGAAACATAATTATCAGGTTTGCTTCGTTTTAAGAAGATCATGAAAATAGACCAGGCCGCAGATGGCGTTGGTGTTATTGTTAGTTTATCCTTTGTTGTTGTTCCAGGATATTGGGCGCGCGTACCTCAAGTCACTGATGGACGCAGAAAACTATGAGGAAGCTGCAAGGTAGGAAAAAAGAAGAGACAGGGTTATCGTCTTGCTGCCACTGCCTTTCCTCCCTTTATTGAACCCTGAAACAATCTTGCTTTCCATGCTTTCCATCCAGCACCCTGCAACATTCCATTGGTATACTAGCTGTGGTTATGATGAATATTTCTGTGGTTATTTCTGTGGTTATTTCTGTGGGTAATATGTGGAGGTCTCATTCACTAGTATCCTTTTCATGGAACACTACACCAGGCTGAAAACTTTGGACAGGTCAAAGCTAGGACACAGCTTACTCACAGATCGAATAAATAGGAATCATCGAATCAAGAGAGACTTAACAAACTCTACTCACATTTAATGCTAACTCCAGGAATCGAACCAGAGAACCTAGAGGTGAATGCACTCCTCTACCCATGAAGCAAACCAATAATTTTCAAGACACATTTTATGCGGAGACTAAAATGAATTTATCCTGCAATAGTAAGTTATATAGTAATACTTGCATTATTTCTCCCCAAGAATGTGTGTGAAAGTGTTAAACGATGACAAGAAGCTGTGGGAAGACGAAGTGTACAAGTTTGCGCGGAAGAACCAGTTAAAGGTGTGATAAATAGATGCAATTCAAGACTCGGACACACGATTTACCCATTGCACGTAACCACGACTGAAGATTTACTGTATGCGCACCTCTGTAATTGTTGCAGGCGGAGCCTTTAATGATCCATGTTAATCTTAGTTACCCAGACCACTCTCAGCCAAGTCCTTAACGTTGAGGGAGGGCCTGGGAGAATTCTCCATGGAGTGTTGTACTGAATATTTAAAATAGCATCTTATCTCCAATTTCAATTCAATTCAATTTCAGTTTATTTACCCTGTTTTTTTCAATTTTATATAATAGAATTACCAAGAATATATATAGTTGAATAATATTTAGAATTTTTAACATAATTAACAATATAATAGGTGTAAGTGTACGACAGCCAAAGGAGCTAAGCTTTCTAGTTGGCTGTCGTAATTTTCATTTAGGGTCAGAAAAAGAAAAAGAAAAAGACTACAATTCAAAAGACTATAATATTAAATTCAACAGTATAAATTTTCCTCTATAGCAAAAAGGAGATAAATTAAATAATGAAATATAAATATATATATTGTTATTGATTACTGAGTAAGAATTCCTTATACATCTGTTTGAAGGATGAATAAGGAAGACTTTTGATTTATTTGGGTATTGTTCCCAGATTTTAGAAATACTATGGCAACAAGTTTGCATTTATTTTGACTTTTCGAGTGCTGGTTTGAATATCTGTTATGCGGCAAGCACCGTGGAATCGAATTTAAATGATGCTCTTGCTCTTGTCAGTAATCACGTGCTGATTAATTCACTGAGAGCAAATGAATGAACATCTTGATTCCCATGGGTGAAATATACTGGTGAGCAAACAAACTTTCTACAACCTGTTTCGAGAGATCGTAATAAAACCCCATTTCGTAACACACTGATTACATATCGTTTCATTCAGTTCTTTACAAGTAGCTAAAAAAATCACCAATTTAAAATAAAATAAAATAATTTGCTCACCAGTACAGACACGTGACCGTTAACTGCAAAGGGCCTATTAGAATGCAAGGTCGATATGCGTATAGGCGGAAAATTGATGATGAAACATTAGCTGACTTAAGTCTTTTACCCAAACCACCCAGTGCATCATGTTCACTAGCATTCCCAAGAGAGTTAAAAGACAAAATGAACATGGCGGCCATTGTGGTACCGTTAACAATGGATACTAATGAGAAATCTTTTGTTAAATGGTGCCAACATGGCCGCGATGAGGTAACGTGCAAACGAAGAATTGTGTGTGCAGTGTAACTATACATTCTTTTTTTTTCAATACAGGCAATAGCACCATACATTCCAAGAGGAAACGTGAAGCTCAGCTCAGCTATTTATGAAATGGTTCTCTATGACTTCTTAAAAACTGATTACCAGGTCAGTGAACGATTTCTGATGCATGTACTGGGTTCAACAAGCTTATATTAAGTCTGTGAATCTCATTATCTGCTCCAAATGGTGGTCAAACACTGACCAGCATGTACTGTCAACCAGAAAGTATTCTATTGAAAACATGTGATTCAGCTGATGAACATTCCACACGAGACAGGGAATAACGTCACCATTTTTCTCCCAATGGCAACGATGATGCACCTTCTTGATCTCATATTATGGAGATGGAGATAAGATAATTGAGGGAGGTTACAGGAAATTACGTTGAACAATATTTATATTTTGCAACAACCCTTACACTCAAATTATTGGGGTTTACTAGATATGAATTTATTTTCTGAAAGGGGAGGTTGCACGATAATTCTTTCGTAGGCGAAGTGCTTGCTCGAAATTTTTGGGCGATTTTTTGAGTAAATCTACTTCCCCCCCCCCCCCCCCCTCAATTATCTAATGGTCCGTCCCTGGTCCCTAAGTGCATCTACAGCCAGATTCACACTTGATTCCCAGTGTATGGATGCATGACAATCAGTTCTCTCGTTTTACTTGGACAGAAATTCCAGGATCTAGTGAAAGAATGGCCAGCCGAACTGTACAGTGTTCAAGCTATTATTAGTGCTATCCAGGTATGTCGTCACCTTAATAACCTACCACAGGTAGCCCATATGTTAATACCGAGAGCAACGTGTGCAGATTTTCAAAATCCCGCTAAAAGAGAACAACTTTTAAGCAGGTTTGATGGTGGTTTGATGGTGGTTGGCTAGGTAGAAACTTTCATTTCATCTTAATTTAGTGTTATAATTCTAAATCCAAGTAGACCATTTCCGTGTTCCTAATTACCGATGCGTTTCATGATTACAGACTCAGTTACTCAGGGTTAGCCTCCGTCAGTGTCTAAATATTCACAAATCCAACGGTAAAGTAAAGAATGCACAACTTCAACAAAACAAACACTGTAAAATTCCACGGACCTTCACTGGAACACGTGAATATTCTGCACAATATCAAGGCTAACCCTGAGCAACATAGAAATTATTGTAAGGAGAGGAGGGACGAAGAAAGAGAGGGAGGAAAGAAAAACGAACGAACAAACGAAAGAACGAGCGAGAGAGAGAGAGACAGCGAACGGACGGACGGACATACACTATACACTAATTGAACGTTTCAACAAGAGGCCTAAAGTCCAAAATTTTAATCTTATTGGAATATTAAGAATTCTTGACTGTTATTTTCCCATGAGTCTTTATTGTATCGATACTGAGTCACTTATGTAAAGTTCATTGAGATAATTTCATTGAGACAATTTTTAAAATGGTCTGTTTTTCTTCGCAGGAGCAACTAGAAAAGGATCCCACCAATCGCTTACTACTAGAAACCATGGGAGAAATGTAGGTCTTTACCTTGGGCGTAATGTTTTCCCATTTCAGACCACGTGTCATTCCCAAGAGTACCATTTCTTTGTTTAACGTTGCACATGAGAAGACACCTAAATATGGATACGACAAAAATAAATATTCTTATTCTCAAAAGAATGACATTGGCACGTGGTCTGAAATGGGAAAACATTACTGTCAGGTAATAGGATCTATTATTAGAGACAGAAGAGATAACTAGCTAAAACTAGTGTGAGCTGCTATTAGAGACCTTTAGCACGAAGTTCTTGCCTGGTGCCACAAACCTCAAACTGCAGTTAGACGTCAGGCGCTCTCCGTCAAACGTTCGACTTTTAGCAAGTTGCTGGAAGAGCCGCCATATTAAATTTCATTGATGCTGAGTGTTTGTCCTTGTTTGCGAGCCTGTTTCCCCAGAGGTACCGCGTTAGCGGTAAACCTGATGCTAAAGGTCTCTATTGGTCCGCAATAACAGGGTCGTCCTCGTGCTTGTATTTCTTTTTTTCCCCTCTCTCATCACTTTGACTTTTTGATTACTAAGGTACACTCGACAAAAGCGATACGACAAAAGTCTGGCAATATTTCTAAGGTAAGGGTAACGTTTACAAATCGTAAGAAAAGACATGTGACAAATGAAAAGACATTTGACAAATATGTGATACGTGAATGAGAGAACATTCGTTTTTTATTGGAGGGGCAGGGGGGGGGGGGGGGGGGGGGGGGGGGGAGGGGTGCTGTGGTTTCAGAGTGGAGGGTCATCAGTAAAAAAAATGAACTTTTATTGAAGGCCAGAGATTTTTATTTTGAAGAAAGCTGTTTCTCCGTTGACTTAATAGCAGGTTCATGATTTTTTTTACTCTGTGAAAGGAGGAGGTATACAACCATTTTAAAAACGTTTACTAAAAATCCCCCTGCCCTTCCCCCCCCCCCCCCCCCTTAGTAAAAAAACGTAGCTTCCCTATGCATAGTTTGTTTAGACTATAAATTTGTAGATCTCTTTTCCTCTAAGACTCAGTCAA